TGCCTGTGGCAGGCATTGGGGGTGGGGCAGATCCAAAGATCCTACTTCTCAGAGGAGCTTGACCTTGAAGGACAGGGAAGGCTTGAGCCGGCTGTGCTGTTCACAGAGGGGAACAGGGGACCCAGGGAGGCTGCCAGAGAGAGGGCTGGAATCTGGAATCGGGGTGGGGATCCTCACCCAGCCCCATAAGTCAGCGCGAGGTCGCAGACAGGTGGCTTGTCCCGCCCACGCAGGAGTCTTTGGGAAGAGTCTGTTTGACAGAAGCCTAGGTTTCCACACTCATGGGTCCGCACGGCTCCTCCTTCTCAGAGAATCTGTCTGTCGTCCAGAAATGGATTTCTTCTTAAATACTCTCATAACTCATTTAATAAGCAAACAATTTTCCCAGGCGTTCTTAGGATAATGCCCACTTTCTCCTCGTGTGTTCTTTAATCGCAGGTGGTTTTCTATGGTCTTTGGTGATGGAGCTGCTTTCTGGCTTCTCCCGCAAAGTTTTTTGTTTTTTTTTTTTTTAATTAAAAAAAATTTTTTTTTTTTAATTTTAGAGAGAGAGCAAGAAAGCACTAGCAGGGGAGGGGGTGGAGCGGGAGAGAGAGAGAGAGAGAGAGAGAGAGAGAGAAGGAGAATCTTAAGCAGGCTCCACACTCATCACAGAGCCCGATGCGGGGCTCGATCCCATGACTTTGGGATCATGACCTGAGCTGAAATCAAGAGTCAGACGCTCAACTGACAGAGCCACCCAGGCACCCCCTTTTCTTGTACAGTTTTATATCTTTGGGGTATTTCATGGCCTCTGCTTTCTGCCTAGCAAGCCGAGTTCACTGTCTGTAGGTGTTCGTGTATTTTTTGTCTGTTTTCTAAAGCTCTTAATTTCCAATGCACTTTCTAAAAATTTTACAGTGAAAGAAGTACACGATGATTTATGAATGGCATTTTTTTAAAGTCAGGCTCTTCAGACATTGTACCTGTTGTTTTGACTGTTTCTCTCCAACCTGTAACTGAGGCCCAGCCTGTTCCGTCGTCTCTGCATCTGACTGTTTCCCCTAATGCCTGGGTTGGGATGGGGCACGCATGCCCTCTGAGAGCCATGCTCTCTCTTTCCTGCCTCTGCTCTTTGGGTGGCTCCAGCCCTGGGGATTCGATATAATACAGAACTGATTTCTATAACGGTTCTTTAGCCCAGTGGTTTTCGGATTATGGGGTGTGACCCATTATTCGAGCATGAAGCCACTTCTGTAGTGCTGCACCCACGTAAGAAAAACAGGTCAAATAGATCCATCTGTTCACACAGAGGAAGGCTGAAACCTTCATTTCAATTGTGTGCCTACGTATGTGTGTTCATGTGTCGGGGACATGATATAAAATGTGTGTCATAGTCAAACGTGTTGGAGAGTCCCTGCCGTATTCTGACATATTGCTGAACTTCCATGACAGAAAAACCAGTTATAACCTGTCTCCAGTAAAATGGTCGCATGCCTTGGGAAAATTGTCCCAAGGCAAGGCAGAGTCCACAAGGGTCCTGTGGAAGATGTTCCCAAGTTGGAAAGAGTCACTGTGGGCTGCTTCAGAGGGGGTTCCTGCAGTCTTTGGAGGATGGCTTCTCCTACATTACTCCTACTTATTCTTCAATTCTCAGTTCAAATATTCCTTCCCCGGGGGAAGCCTTCCCTACTCCCCCTGTCTACATCGGTTTCCTCCGTTAGGTGCCTCCGTAGAACTACATTTCTTAGTATCAGAACACCTAGCTCAGTTGTTCATGAGACAGTGATTGGTATAGTCATTTTATTACTATCTGTCTCCCTCCATCTCCTAGAACATGACCTCCACTGGGCAGGCATCAGGTCTGTTTTTGCTCACTGTATCTGCAGGAGCCAACACAATGCCTAGCATATAGTCCACACTTCGTATACACCAATGGCTTGGGGCCAAGTCCCCACAGTCACCCGACATCAGGAACCCCGTAAAACCCTCTGCTGTACTCAAGTCTTTTCTAGAAGGGGGGAAGGTTTTCTATTATAAGGAGATCTATAGGTGGGATTGAAGCCCCAGGAACTCAGCAGAAGCCTTGCCCCACACAGGCCAGGAGTAAGCTGACTCCCTTCTTACTGTCCCCAGCGCTCCCGGTGAGGGTCACGGAGAGCATAAGCAGAGTGACAGACAGAACTTCTCTTGGGTGACAGTCCCTTCTCTGGTTGTGGCTGGGGCTCCACGGTTCCTGGTTCCTCGTGGTAGTAACGAATATTCCGGCCTTTACACATTAGTTGGAACCAGCTCATTTGGATTCCGTAGTAAGTACTGCAGATATAGATCTTAGCTGAGGCTCTGATTTGTGTTAGTCCAAGCACAGATGGGTGGTTTTTTTCTTCCCTATCCTCAAGAGTCTGTGAGGGTGAAGGCAGAAAGGTGGGGAGAGAGGAGGATCCAGAAGTATTTCCAGGGTTGCCCTAGCATGAAAGACATGTTTCCAAAAAGGTGTTTTGGAAACGTTTTATTTTAGGCGGGAGAAAACGCTGACACTCTGGCCAGCTCCCATAACCTAACCAGACATTTTTCGGGGGCACGGCGTCATCATAGCCAGGGAGCTCGTGAGTTTTGAAACTGCTTTTCCATTTGAGAGAGCGGACCTCTGTGACCCCAAGCATCATTTCCACGGCAACCAGCTGTGATGAGATGGGGGTTCTGACCCCGCGGGACAATCGCAGCAAGAAACAGATGAGCTTGTGGATAGAAAATTTACTCTATGGCCTTGAACAGATCTCATGTAACCGAATCTCAGTTTCCTCATCTCTGAACTAGAGAAAGAAACGGGACGTGCCTTTGATTGGACGCGGAGAGATCCATGTTGGAAAAGCACGCATGTAGGTATTGTTGAGTTTAACTGAACAGCCCAGCGTTTGACAGGAGGCAGAAGACCTGTGGCCTGCACACATGTGCCTGTTGTGGGTAGCTGTCAACAGGCCTGCTCTCACGTCTCTGGCCAGCACCTCATTCTTTGCTAAACTGGCTTCCTGGCCGGTCCTGAATGGGGTAAGGTAGTTCACTGCCACCCCAGGGCCTTTGCACCGCAGTTCCCTGAGCATTTTCCTATGCTGTTTCCAGAGGGCTCCATGGCCCACTCCCTCCCTTTGTCTGGGTGTCTACTCAGACATTAGAGCCCCTATCAGACACCACACAGAAAACGACCCCAGAACTATTTGCCCCTTAAGGCCTTTTCTTCAGAGCACTGTGACCATTGGGAATTTCATAAGCTTCCTGGGGACAGGTTTGTTAATCTTCTTCTTTTTTCTTTTTTTTTTTGAGTTTGGTTCAAGTTTGCTACACCTACCAAACTGGCACATAGTAGGCCATTCAGTCCTCACGAAAAACCTTTTTTCATTGTTTTAAGTTCATTGATCTTTAGGAGACTCTTATTTCAAAGAATAAAATAAAAAAAAAAAAAACCTGCCGAAGATCATAAAGGTAGCAAGCGGCAGACAGGGGTCTAAAAGCCAGGGCGAACTTCAAGTCCTGAATATTCTCTCGGCCTGGAGTCGGTCTTTCCTTCTGTCTTTCCCTCTGAGCACTGATGCCTTTGCTGTGTCTCTGGGTCTGCCTTCATGATGCCCAGGCCTGCCCAGCCTCGCCCCAGCCTGCAGTGCTCTTTCCTCTAGATCCAGCTACAGCCAATGCTGCCCCTACCCCAGGTCCCAGTACAAACTCCCCACTCCGCTGTCCTGTTCTTGGAGAACCTCATGCTTGGCCTTCTAGAGTGGCAGCAGCTAATCTGATCACGAGTCAGGGCTGACCCACGCATGGACAGGTCACCTTGGCCCCATTCCCTCTTGAAACGTGTGCTAGAAGGTGTCCGTGCTAGGATTGGTTCCTCTCACCTCCTCGTGGGGTCAGACGTGGCAGCAGCTTCGAGAAGAAGCCCTGAGGAGCGTCTCACCGAGGGATGTGGGGATCGCCAGTTCTTTGTCATGTCACGTTTAAACACTTACTTTCGTGTCGCCCGATGTGACTCGACAGGATAACCGTGCGTGTAATTTGGACATTATCTTTTTCACCGTATCTGGGATGCTTCTGGGCCTTACTGTAATCCCTGGAAAGGTGCAACAAGCAGGTAGCAATCTCCTTTCTTACCAAGTGTGTGTGGAACCATGCTTACGGATACCTTGGCTGGCACAGAATATCGCTCACTAGACAGCACAGGAGGTCCGAGTCTCGTTGCGAACTGTCAGCATCCGGCTTTCCAATCTGGGCACGTGACGATGCTTGCTTGGGCTGTCTTCAGCTAGTTTGTGGACGAAAACTGCCATCAGAGGAAGCCGTGGGCTTCTGGTAACACCGTTCACGTGGCATATGCTGGCCTCTGCTCTTATTTTCCCCCCGTCCCACACCCTCTGTCTGCTCTTTCTCTCAGGAAAAGTGCGGTGGCGGGACTTTAACCAGGAAGCTTACGTCGGAGGGACAATGGTCCGCTCCGGGCAGGACCCCTACGCCCGCAACAAATTCAACCAAGTGGAAAGTGATAAGCTTCGGATGGACAGAGCCATCCCGGACACCAGACATGACCAGTAAGTACTCAGCTGTGTGTCGGCCTGGGGCCTCCGCTTGCTTTCCCACACCTGGTGAGTAGCTTTGACCACGACACAGCATCTTTCTTTTACTCTGGGAGACTGAACGCGCGTCGTGTCTCTACGGGGCGGTAAAACTTGGAAAAGGCATACGTCATTGGGGCTCCACTCCCTGGAAGAGACAGGCCCGCTGGGGATGGGATTCTAGTCTTTCGGATCCCCCGAGGCAGTATCGAGAGGCCGTGGGTGGCTGGCCAGAGGGTGGGGGGTCAGCACGAGAAGGGCATGTCCTCTCTCAGACCCCTTCCCAAACACGCGTAATTTGCCATAGTTCGTAGCGTCGTCGGAAAGGAAGGAAATCTGAATTCTTGCTCTATTAGGACAGCTTAACTCAGAAATGTTCTAGAGACTGGAAAGGCGAAAGGAACAACCCCGGCAGGGCGGATGTGAAACTGAGCTGAAACACAGAGACAGAGGAGGACTACGTCCTTCTCTTGACTCTTCAGGGATCTGGGACCCGAGGGCAGAGGGCACTCCGGGGTTCATCGGGCTCGGCTGATGAGGTCTCCAGCCATTCTAACGTGAGTTTGTCACCGCTTACTGTCAGGCCTCACTGCCGCTATACCTCTCAGCCTTGCTGGTAAGAAGCTCTGACTGGGAGGCTGGTCACATGGAGATCATTGGGGGGGTTGGGCTTGTTGTTAAAAAATTGGTTTTTTTTAACAAATTGGTTGGGCAGATTGTTAAAAAATAAAGAGTTGTATTTGGAGGACAGCTGTTTCCTGGCTGTTTGGTAGGCGTTCCTGCTCACTGGGTTACTTAGGGAGTCATTCATCGTCATGGATGACACATCCACTGCGACTCAGACACTGTGTTAGGGTCCTGGGATTCCAGACAGAAGAGTCTCTGGCCCCAGTCCCGTTCTGGATGGGGATGGGGCAGGGGTGGGGTGGGGCGGGTAACAGGTGCACTAGGAAGTGAGGGGGGG